TTTTTTTTTACATTTTCATCAAGAAATCTTGCAGTAGGACTTTGATCTGACTTTGAAGCGTGTGTGTGTGTGTGTGTTTGTGTGCACAGTGGCTGAGTGGCACAAAAAAAGCTCAGTCATTGGCTCATTCAATTCTTTGGTTTTGTATGTGTGTGACTGTTTTTATTCGACAAAATAAAAAATAAAAAACTTGCTGTGTTATAGGCTCGTTCAATGCTTTGTATATGTATTTGTGCGTGTGTTTGCCACATTGAGAACGTAGTATAGGCTCACCCCTTCATTTATGTGTATGTATGATAATTTAATTTAATTTATGCAGACGCTTTTATCCAAAGTGACTTACGGTGCATTCAGGCTATACATTTTTTACCAGTATGTGTGTTCCCTGGGAATCGAACCCACGACCTTTTACGCTGCTAACGCAATGCTCTACCACTGAGCCACAGGAACACTATGTATGATCTTTTATTAGACAAATTAAAAAAATGCTTTGAATTTTAGTATTTCCCATTCATTTCCCATGGGTGCCCATTTTTGGGCACGAATGACAAATTAAGGAGTTTTTTTTTGTGTGTTCAGGTGGCAAATTTCTTAATTATGATTTCAAGAGGTCTTAAGTTTGGGGACGGAAAGACCAGAATTGTGATATGGCTGAATGTGACGATTAAACTTCAAAAGGCTATGATTTCATTAAATAAACACGAGCGCTGAACGTTCAAAGTCCGGTGCTGCGCTGCTTTGTGTTCTGCAGTTACCGGGGAAACAGTTATATTTCTACCAAACGCTCCACCTGCTGGCAGAGAATGAATGAGCATTTTCAATAAAACTGTTGTTTTGTTCAGAGTTCAGACCAATGCAAAAATCGACCCATGTGTTTACCCTGCAAACACGCAGAGCTTTAAATGTGAACTGGTGGATTGATAAGAAGACAATGCATTATAAAAATCTAAACAGTATTGGTGTGTGCGATATGTATGGTCTGCGATAATATCGTAATTGTTGTTTTAACGATGTGTGATTTGATAGTATCGAGTATATCGCGAAAAGCAAACAAAACACACCTACAGAGTGCATGCATACATTAGTTGATGAAGTCTAGTAAGTTAATATAGGTTAAACTACTGCACGTGCGCATTTAGAGCGCGTTCTTTCACGGCATGAATCAGTCTATTAAAATGCATTTGATCACATAATTCAAGATATAGGGCAGAAAATGTATATATTTATATCATTTCATATAGTTAATATCACACGAAGAGTGCCATTCTTTTTCTCCAAAAGTCAGCATGATTACAAATGTGATATTGATTTTATACAACAGTTCAATAAACAAGAAGAGACTTACGTTTTAGACACCACAGCATTGTTTCGCGTCTCTGAGCGAAAACGATTAAACCGTTTAAATGATTCTGTTCAATCGCAATGACTCATTTAACCCCTTTGGTGTCACCCCCCATTTTCGGCATGGAGACACAAATGTCATACCCAAAATAAAAAGGTTGCTGCTCATGAGTCTTTCTGACTAGATACATAATCAACATATGTTGGGAGCAGTTGACCAAAAAATGAAGAAAAACATTTGATTACAAACTTGCAGCCTTTCACTTCACAAGACATTAAGTGATGGACTGGAGTCGTGTGGATTATTGTGATGTTTTCATGATCAGCTGTTTGAGCTCTCATTCTGATGGCACCCATTCACTGCAGAGGATCCATCGATAAGCAAATGATGTAAAGTTATATTTCTTCAAATCTGTTCTGATGAAGAACTCGTCTTTGTCTTGGATCGACTGAGGGTAAGCATTGTTGTAAATATGTGTCACTAAAATAAATTTGTCATTACTATTCCTTTAATGCAAGACAATAAGACATTCAACATTTTTCATGAGGCTTTTTCATCTTGCTACACACAAAAGCCATTTTCCGATCACAGTTGTATTTATTCCACTTTTCCGAGCCTATAGCAGGAAAAAAAAAATAATAATAAAAAATAAATAAATATATATATATATATATATATATATATATATATGTTATTGTTACAGTATTCTGATCAAATGTAATGCTTGTTAAGGTAATACAGCCAATTCTATTCCATTAGCATTTCATAAACATTAGGTGAAGTTAAAATGCAGTTCCCTTTCATGGGAACTTTGAACTGCGTCCTCTAGGGGTCGCTATGGGGAACGCCTCGTCGTGACCCGTGTCTGAAGCATACATTGAAAAAACACCAACAACACGTTGGCCGGCGACAGCCATGACGTCACTACCGGTGCGACTATATGAGGAGGGCAAAGAAGCTGAGGCTGAGCCTTCCCAATCCTCCTGCCCTGCGTATGATGAGCTCTTGGAAGTTATGGATGGCGCCACGGCGAGGCTTGACTTGCCGTGGAAGCGGACTAAGGAAGTGACGTCGCGAAGTCGTCTCGATGAGTGTTATCTTTCTGGCCATAACCCTCCAGCTCAGGTGAGCCATTCCGTTCCTTCCTGATCTCCATACAGAGATCGAGAAGGAATGGTGAGGCCGTTTTCCTCAAGCATCCATCGATTCCAGCATACCAGTTATGCCAACATCGAGGCGATGTGCGAAAACAGCTATGAGAGGATGCCCCCGGTAGAAGAGTAGCTGGCCAGCTATCTCTCTATGGGTGAGACATCTTCTCTTAAAACTCCCTCCTTGCCATCTAAGCCCCTTTAGATTACATCTCGCTTGAATGGCAGGGCATATGCAGCAGCAGGTCAGGCTGTCGCTTCGTTGCACATGATGGCGGTGCTCCAGGCATATCAGGCTGACCTGCTGAAAGGTAACCACCATCTCTCCACCTGACGAAGGTTAGGTGGGAACTTCCTGCATTACAGTCTCCTATGCTGGACCTATGATGTTTTGGTTGGTTCTATGGCTTCATAGTGACCACCTTACTGATGGTCCAGACTAGAGGCTTCTCCGGACAGGGCTCCGACGTGGGAACCATGGTGGGTGAGTAGGATCCATTTCTAAATATATATATATATGTGTATTTAATGCGCTGGTGGTTGTGTGTATAATCCTTCTGCTAGCTTTCTTTGCAGTGTTTCCCGGGACCTGTGTGTTCTGTCCCTTTTCTAGGATAAGTCCTCGATGAGGCCCCCTATTCTGCTGGCTTCCTTTGCAGTGTTTCCCGGGACCTGTGTGTTTCTGTCCTTTTTCTAGGGTAGGTCCTCGGTGAGCACCCCCTCTGCTGGATTCAGAAACCGGGTGCTCGACTTGCAGTGTTTATTTCACTCGTCGATATATGTCCAGACGGTACGATAAGCCGGGTTTCGGCTTCATACTTCCTGGATCATGCGGCCAGGTCACAGGCTTCTGCGGGAGCCTTCTTGATCATAAGAAATAGGAGGACAAAATGTGTACATGAACTACTCCTTAACCGAGAAGAGCAGGGAGACTGTCTTCATTTGATTCAAGAACAACGACCCTCTCAGGTTCAAGAGCTACTTCAGGCTAACCCTTGAACTTTTAGAACTACTTCATGAGAAAGTGGCAACAAGGAATGAAGAAACCCATCCGTTCAAAGAACCGGCTTTCCATCTGTCTCAGGTAAATATAATAACTTCATTACAGTTTGACAGTAAGTTGAGTTAAAAATAAAACAAATACATGTTGTTATTTTTTTTCTTAATCAAAATGAGTTTATGTGCATATATATAGATATAAAAGAGTTCATTTGCAAAAACATAAATATTTTTAACAATTTTTAACAATCATGTTTTTTCATTGTGCATTCCAATTAATCGCAATTTTGATTAGTTAAAAAATACAGCTAACACAATAAAATACAATAAAAACATGATAACATAATAAAAAAAGCATGATTTTTTAAAAATAAAATAAAAAAACGGAATTATCTGTTTTTGCAAATAAACTCTTCAAATATTCCAGTTGTGCTTGTCACTTTTGCGCAGTGTTTGGGTCGTAACATGACTTCTATTTTGTAGTATTCACCACAGACTAGTGTAGCTCTACTCATTATCGCTGGCTTCACAGAACCTAGAACAACTATGGCGGAGGTAAGAGAAACATTACAAATTGCAGCAAATAACGCACTTAAGCGTTCTGTGCAATCTTTTAATAAAATTAACTTCATTTTTTTATTTTAAATATTGCAACGATGACGTTCTTCTTAACATTCAGCCCTGAATAATTAGCAATCAGGTTAGGGCGCCTAATTTGAATGTGTTAGCAGCTAGCAGCTAACTTGTTGCCTGAGCGCCAAACTCACATCCAGTTTATTCCTCAGTGTTTATATTAAGAAACACCAACAGTGTCCAATAAATTATTACCCATATGCAGCCCATACATTTGGATCCTTCTCGAGCTGTGGAACAAGACTCTCCTCTTTGTGAGGAGGAAAAAGATCGACTAAGGTCCAAGGTAGGCCAAATTCTCTGGGCTGCAAGGCAGAGCAGGCCTGATGTAATGTTTGATGCCAGCAGCTTAGCGTCAAACAAAAAAACTGCAACTGTGCAGACTATTCATGAAGCAAACAGAATAGTGTGTAAACTGAAGTCCAAAAAGGTAGTTCTGTACTTCCAATACCTGGGCAAAGACAGTGCGCTCAAGATGGTTGTATACAGTGATGCCTCATTTGGAAATCTTTCTGATGGGGGAACTCAAGGTGGGCATCTGATTGTTCTCATGGGAGAAAATGGGAAGTTCTCTCCCCTTTCCTGGCAGTCAAAAAGAGTCAAGAGGATTGTGCGAAGCACTCTTGCTGGTGAAACATTGGCAATGTCAGATGGAATTGACAACGCAATATTTCTGACCACACTGTTCTCTGAGCTGACTACTGGTGACACTGAACATGCTATACCAATAATCTGTGTCACTGACAATCATTCACTTGTTGATGCACTGAAGTCCACAAAATCAGTTGCTGAAAAAAGACTGCGTCTGGAAATAAGCAGCATCAAAGAACTTATTCAAACACAAAGGGTTGAACGAGTGCTGTGGTATAATACAAAAGAACAACTTGCAGACTGCCTTACAAAAAAGGGGGCATCACCACTGCAATTACTTAAGGCACTTAGTGAACTCCAAACTTGACCTCAGGGCATGGTGCCAGTGTTACATACTGACTTTGTAATTAAATTCTTCTTTTTTTTTTTTGTAATGAGAAACTTTTAAAGCATTAACACCAAAAATAGTGGACATGGAAATCTGATATCTCCTCGAGCAGTCTTGTGATCTTCGCTCACACTACATGCATACAGTGCTTCGCTAGCCTACTGTGGGACTGACACTGATCTCCTTAGTATAGCCATCTGAGGGTGGTTATATTCCTGCCATTGTTATGGCAGGACAGGCTTACTTGAATACAGCTATCTGTGTTTTATATGAATATAAATGTCCATATCAAACATATAAACTAATGAATACACATTTGCAATCTAATTGGCCTACACCATAAATAGTGTGACAATAAATCACATTTTTTGTAGGCTAATGTAACCTTGTCTGTAGTATAGTAAGCCTGAATAATATGAATTATTTTAACACCGACGGTAAGAATCTTTAATGCAGATAAAGCACCTACCAAAAATGAGTTTTAAACAATTGTGACCCTGGACCACAAAAAAAAACAGTCATAAGGGTCAATTTTTATTATGTTGAGATTTATACATCGTCTGAAAAAAAAGCTTTCCATTGATGTATGGTTTGTTAGAATAGGACAATATTTGGCTGAGATACAATTATTTGAAAATCTGGAATCTGAGGGTGCAAAAAAATCTAAATATTGAGAAAATCATCTTTAAAGTTGTTCAAATGAAGTTCTTAGCAATGCATATTACTAATCAAAAATTAAGTTTTAATATATTTACAGTAGGACATTTACTAAATATCTTCATGGAACATGATCTTTACTTAATATCCTAATGATTTTTGGCATAAAAGAAAAATGTATAATTTTGACCCATACAATGTATTGTTGGCTATTGCTACAAATATACCCCAGCGACTTAACACTGCTTTTGTGCTGCAGGGACACAACTGACAAACTTCTTTCAAAGTGCTACCTGTATGACCTATATGATTTTATGAATTACAACAATCTCCTTTTAGAGTTCAATGTGAACTAAATGAACACCTGCGTTAACAATGAATACATTTTGGTACAACCCGCTAAACTTTGGCCAACAGCTTCAAAATAAACACTCAGGATCGATCCGCCCACCCCTAAAGAGAAGAAATCGAAACTGAAAGTTTGAGTTCATCTTTAGATCGGCTACGACGCCATTTCAGAACGCCGTGGAACAAAACAGTTTCCATTAGAATTATTGGTAAGTACAGCAATGTCTTTCTCATAACTTCCATGATGTTGTGATGTATGTGTCTCGACATTATATGAGATTATATTATACATTTCATTTTAAATATTACGCACAAAATCGATCAGGAGTTTACCTGCAAGGCGTTTCCTCAACGAGTCAGGCACAATTCATGAACAGCTGACGTTTGTCACAATGTATATATTATACAAATTTCCGCGAAATAAAAATCTGCCCGCGGTAGCCTATAGTTAGATTTTCTCAACGTTCGCGTCGAAGAAACGGATCGTAAATGCTGTTTTCTTTAGCCTCTAATTCCGATTCCTAAATTTGTTTTCTTCCGTGTTCAGGGACATTTCCTTTTTTATTATTATTATTGTTTTTTTATTTTTTATTAACGCTTAAACCGTAAAAAATTAAAATGATTATAAAAAAAATAAAAATAAAGAACCAAATTAAAAACCTCTTAACAGATTGTGAATGGCATTACAGAGACATTACAATGAGATTCAAACAATCATACACAAAGAAAGCATCTAAATGCATGGATTTTCTTTAAATACTTCTCTGTAATATAGTTTTTTAAAATTCTTTATTAGATAGGTTCTTTCTTTAGGTAGATTCTTTATTGGATAGGATGGGAAACTATTTGTGAATTTTTTTTTGTGAATGAAAAAATTACCATTTAAAATAAAAAAATATATGTAATATGTTCCAGGGGTTTATTTTTAGTATTATTATAATAAAAATAATATCTTTTAAAGTATAGGAGTGTACAACATCGGCGAAATCAAATATATGAGAACCTAGTTCAGACCAACGTTGCTTGGATCAAAAAACAAATGTGCTATTGTCTTCTCTGTTTGTTTGCAAAAAGAAGATTAGAATTGATAGGATATATTTTATGTAAAATTTGAAAGTGTGTTGTCTTATTGGAAATACAATATTTCCCAGGTAAAACCCAGGCTCTTTTCTGGTCTATATCATCAACCAAGGACCTCCACTAGAACTTTCCCCTTGAAGAAATTTTCCTTTTAAATGGAAATATTTGGCGCACATGCCTATTGTTACATTTCTTATCTAACAGAACAACGCCTCCCAAGAGCAAAGCAAGCAAATGTTCTCCTTTTATTAAATATAGAGTGACTTTTAACAAGGTGAATTAATCCAGGTGAAATTGCTTTTACCACCTTGTTAAACTCTTTTGGAGGAATCGGGAAACTATGGTATGTCATGAATTGCTCATAAGATATATTTAGAATATTTCCTGAGTCATCCACTAAGCAAAGGATACAATTAATATTATTTTGAAACCATCTGGGGAAATATAATGATATATTTCTGATGGTAATATCCCTGTTATTCCATAAAACACTCTATATGGGGTGAAAAACTGTGAACATAACAAAGCTTCCAAGCGAGGAGACACTGCTGATGAAATTTGGACAAAGCTATAGCTTAAAGGGTAGATAGTTACATTTCAAAATAAAGGAAAGGCTACCAATTTTATCAAAAATATGGTTGGGGATAAAATACCAAATTGACTTTGGGTTAGACATCTTTTAAGCCAATGAATTCAAAAAAATATTTATTGTGTCAGAAAATCTAAAAATCAATACATTCATTTGCTCTACTATTGGAGAGCACTTCCTTTTTTAATTTACGATTAATTTTTCCAAATGAAATTTAAGAAAATATTAATTTCTTTAGCAACTTTGTTCTCAACAAATAAAGATAGAGATGGATATGCAAAATGAGAAAGACCCTCGGCCTTAGACAAGAGAACTCTCTTCCATATAATGATAGGTCCCGCTGTAGCCAGGAATTAAGAATGTTTTTAGACTTGACCATCTTGGATGAAAAATTCAAGTGCTATCTTTACAGAAGGTTTTTTGAAATATAAATGGCAAAATATTCAACTGTGAATTTAATTGGAATATTTTCTATTGAGTTGTAATTTATATCATGAACAGGCATTTTCTCACATTTTGAGATATTCAATTTTAGACCAGAAGCACAAGAAAAACGGTAAATTAATTCCAAAGCCTTTGACACTTGCAAATCATCCTTTAGAAACAATGTGATGTCATCCGCCAATTGTGAAATCTTAATTTCCTTCTCCAAAAATTCCAAAAATAATTTTGAACAGTACTCATGAATAATAGCTCCGTAACTAATAAAAATAAAGAGGAAGAAATTGGACAGCCCTGAATAACACCACAAAGTATATCAAATCTATTAGAGGTATTAAAATTAATAACAACAGAACTATTAATTCTATTAATGCGTAATGGGGCTCCAATTATCAGTTGAAAGGATATCTGTATTAGGTTTTTTTATTTATTTCTGTGCCACCCCAGACTGGTTGCTGGCCCCTCCCTGGCCACCCCTATAATTTTTTTTATTAATTAATTTGTGTATTTATTTATTTTGTGTGGGCTCCAAATTCACTTATTATAATCAAGATGTTTACTGACCCAAATTGGTTTTAATACAATTCACCTAAAGAATCACATTATAAAAAAATGGTTATTAGTAACCATTGAAAATAGCAAACAAATCAAAATAGTATTCTAACAAAATTATGACTTTACAAAAATAAAACAAAATAAACATGAGAACACATGACAAAATGTTTTTAACCAGTATTTTTTAACATTTTCTGATTGCATTCAATATCTTAATTTGCATATGCAAAGTAAATACTAAATTAAAAACTCTACAGTAAGTAGGCCTACAGTAAAAACTTTTCAAATAATATTTTGTTTATGGTTTTTTAAATAGATTCAGGAATATGATTTTTCTGTATTTATATGGTTTCCATATTTTTTTTACCTGAAAACTATTACTCACATGAATTGCGTGAGTTGGATATTGTATGATTAAAATCACATAAATGCCTTGAACAATTACTAAAGAAACTACGTTTCTTTTCAAATTTTACGTTTTCTGATCATTTTGATTCATGCATAGATTGCTTAGGCACAAGCTTGTGGCGTCATCTGCAGGACAACCTTAGCATGTTAACCAGAGTTCAAAGCACTAAATGCCAGGGGGGGAAATCACCACTGAAATGGTGTTACTCACCATTTGCTCAGTAACTTATTTATTTTTTAATAAATTTTGACAATACATGGTTGGGAGAATGTGATGCAACTTGAAATATATGAGTGCGATCATCAAATCGCACTGGTTGTGATGTAATTATATAAAATATATTGACTGACGCGCTGTATGTTCCAGAGTAAACTGTTTATTTGTTCAGTGCTGTGTGTTTGTGTCGCTTATAATTTACATTTGGGAACATTTCAAGTAGGGCTTTCGCTGTTTCCCTTGTGGAAATTTAGAGTGGTTTAATAGTGCAATATGCGGTATTATCGCCATATATATATATTAGGACTGCATGATTAGTCGAAATCGAACTGAAATCGCGATTTGGCTTAATGCGGTTATTGAATCACAAAGGCTGCGATTTTTAATTAAATAAATATTTGCACAGCATCAGTAGTAAACGCTGCTTAATCTCTGCACGTACTGTGAGTTTAAGTCGCTTTCAACGTGCATCTGAAAAAGCAACACACTCCAAACATCCTCCCAAACTTAATCAGAAGCTTTTATTAACCTGTTTTACAACAAAAGAAAACATTTAATAACATGTTTTTACTCCACAGCATCAGTCGAGTGTTTGAAATAACTTCATTTCTGACTGAATTATAAATTTGCTGTATTATGAAAGTACCCAAAATCAGTTCAAGTTTCAAGCGTAACACACATAGCAATCGATAAGATCAGACCAAGACAAACTGAACAGACTGGAACTAAAGTAAACAGACTAATGAGGGACTAATGACTAAATTAACTAGACACAGGTGAACTGACTAACATAATCAAGGGGAAACTGAAACTAGGTCATGGGAACATGAGGAGTGAAAACAACAACAAAGTCCATAAGTGTGACATATTGCCCCCCTCTCGTAAGGTGCGACCTCGTGCCGCAGAAACAAAGGGTGGGACGGAGGGGGACTTAAGAGGAGGACAAAGGAGTTGATGTGGGATGGTAATGGGCTGGCACAGATAGGCAAGAGGAGGTCCTGGCGGTGGCCGGATGACCGGGAGGAGGACGACAACAAATAGAGTCCAGGGAGGTGCAGGTGGCAGAGATAACCAGGGAAGAGCAGACAGAGGAAGGAGCCAGGCAGAATACAGGAGGGAGCTGGATCAGGAGGAGCTAGGACGGGACTCAGACTGCAGCCATAAAGGCGGCCCACGGTGGAGCCGACGGAGAGAGGTGCCATGGTGGAGGAAGGGCTGATGACTCAAGGGGCCGACCGACGGCGGCAGAGCAGGTGGGAGAGGAGCCCAGGGCGGAGAAGGAATTCCGATGAGCCAGGGCGATGGGGAGGATCCGGAGGGCCAAGGTGGAGCAGATGGCTCAGGCGACCGAGGCGCAGGCGGGGATCCGGAAGGATGTGGTGGAGTCAGAGCGACAGAGGACTAAGGTGGAGGTGGAGCTGAAGGGAGGGAGGAGCCCAACGGAGCTGGAGGGATGAGGCGAAGCCACAGGAGTGTAGTCCCGAGGCAAGGGCAGGTCGACGACCGACCATGACAGAGCCGGAGGGACGAGGGAGCCCGGTAGAGCTTGTGGACTGACAGACCACGGTGGAGAGGAGGGAGCTAGGAGCCATGGTGGAGCCGAGGTGGAGTC